CTCTATGGGGATTTTATGAATAAATAATGAAATTATTTAAAAAGTTGCTGTCAAACAATAAATGTGCAATAAAATATAATGCAATAGAACTACAAGACTGAAAACAGCACATCAAAATAGAGATAAGAAAAATGCTCCAATATTTAACAAAGTAAAATACCAGGGAGTGTGTTTTTTGTTCTTTTTTGTTTTCAGAAAGATAGAACTATAAGAACATAACATCATATCATTGTTTTCAAATGCCAAAAAAATCATTTAAAACTCTGGAGAAGAGTTGTTTGTTTGGTGCCAAAATAACCAATATGGAAACCAGCTGGGTTTCCATACAGAAGGACCTTTCTGTCATTGACACCCACTTTACTTCAAATTGAAGGGAACAGTACTTGGAGGAGGAGAATGCAATATTTACCAAAATTAAAATAGTCCTTGGAGGAGGATCATGATGTAAAGGTTTGAGTACACGTGAAAGAGGCGATTCCAAGGCCCCAAACCATAAAGACCATGAAGACCAATACTTTGAACTGTAGTCAGCAATGATAACAAATATGATGACATGGGATGTGCATAATGCTCAGCTTTTCTACCATATTCTGCGCCAACTACTGAACCATTTTCATTGCAGTCACCAAAGGAGGAGGTTACCAAAGCATGCATACCTGAGGGCTAGTTTCAGTAGGGAAAAGTATATATTAACTAGCAAAATGTCCACTATTACAATAGAGAGGATATAAGGGGATGAAGTTGTGTATTGCAAAGACTTTGAAAGCGAACAGCGTAACTAATCCCTTGCAAGATTGCTCTCATTGATGGTTAGATTACCATCTGCTTACTAGACTTCTGGACAGCACCCAAATGCAGCATTGTACTCCCTGTCCACTCCCAGGAATAAATAATGCCTATTCATTTACGCAGGAACAACAATTGCACTGGGGAAAAGGAATAAACATATTTATTTCATCCTTGTGGCCCAATAATTAAAAATCAAGTGCTTACGTCTCCAGCTTTTTAGACAAGTTCCAGATTTTATTTCCTGATTGACATTTATAGACATGGGTATTTCATTCAACAAGGCACTTTCTACCATCTCCATATTCTACTGTTGTTATCATTTTACTGGTATAAACTGCTAGCTTCGTTCATTTATGCAATGCTGCCCATTTAACTCTTTTTTTCAGATAGCTTTCTGTTTCACTTATTTTTCTCAGTGGTTTTTTTTGCATTGACTTCATGAACAGTATTTTTTCATTCTTTGGGAGCTGCATTTCCAGATCATCTAGAGAATGTTTAGTACTAAATAAACAATATCAGCAAATATGAGATTAAATGCACAAAAACACAAAAAACCCATTGTTTGTGGATGTTACAAAGATATTTAAATTCTTAGTGTGATATAAATATATATCAGTTGAAGGTCTCTAATGGATGAAATACTACATTTTTTTTCTCATTCTCATTCAATTAATTTTCTGGATTTTAAATATTTGTTTTCCTAATGGCCATACTTTTCCATTTAGTCCCTTCCATGGTATTTTGACTATAAAGAACTTGTTTTCCATTTTTACGTCTGGGAAAGCTGTATTTTGATGCTATGTCCACTTTGGTTGTATAAGACTGATGTGAGTATGCATATGTTGTGTGATTTTCAATAATTACTGTTATAATATATGGAATCCTACTGGGTGACCCTTGGGAAAGTACCACTATCTTACTCATTTTGACAAGAAAACTCTTTGATAGGTTCACCTCAGGGCCACCAGAAGTCAGAAATGACTTGAAGGTAATCAACAACACTTATCTTGTCAAAATATGTCAGTTCCCTTACAAGATTTTGGCCAGTGTTTTTGTTTGCATTAGAGGTAGGTAATCTGTGGTCCATGGACTGCATGTGTTCCCATAAATATATTGGAGGTCCTAAATCTCAAACACCCAGACTTCAAAAAGAGCATAAGGTTTTTTTTTATAGTCCTACAGCTCCTGGATCTGAGTTTTTAAAATATCAGGCAAATTATCATCCTAAAATTGCCCGACAGCAGTACAAAAATCATGACAAATGCAGAATTTGGTTTTCTTTGCCCTAGTAAAAATGATGGAAAGAAAGCTAAAGCAAAACCAGATGCTGATTCACATCTGGGTCAGGCAGGATATATTAATGTGATGAGGGCATTCAGAGAGAAAATAACTTGGTGCTCTTGTCCACCATAAATTTATATGAATCAGTATCATAGATGAATCCAGAAAAAGTGCAGGCATATCCACAATGATCACTGAAATTTATCATATTTCCTCTCCATATTCTAGGAATAAGCTCTATTGAGCATTGTAGGATTAATATAATTTACTGCTGAGTAAATATGTAAAAGACAAGGCTAGGCACTTTGTAAGTAAACACCCTGAACTTAGCAAAACCTGTGCCTGGGTAAGCATGTACAGATTTGCATTGTATAATTTATCTCCTGGCCTGTGCCATTTCCAGAAAGGTATTGTCTCATCACTAATGTATTAGTAGCTGCAGCTGAAGCCCCTGTTCATTCTTTGTGCATTCTTCAACTATATTTTAAAACAGAGCAAAAACAGGCAATCAAAATATTTCAGGGAATGGAGCAATGCTTGGTTAGTTAAGTTTTAACTTAGAAAAATAGATGAGTAAGGGGACACATGATAGAGGAAGTGGTAGAAGCTGGTTCCTAGGTCAATGGGGCAATAGATCCACATGACATTTTAGTCCAAACTCCAAAGCAGTCAGTCATGTTAGGGGATTAGGGTTCAGCTACTGGTTATGGGTGTATTAAAATTATTGATGGTGTGGAGAAAGCAGATAAGAAGAAGCTGCCTCCTGTGCCTTCTCTCTGCCTACAATATGAATGCCCAATGAAACTGAATGGTGGAGGACTTTGGAGAGAAATGATTTTTTTTCCAAACTGAATTGCTAAACTATAGAAAGTGCAATCACACACATGGAAACTATAAAAGGAGCTGAGATAAATTCATGGATGATAAGGCTACTAATGTCTACTTGTTATGCTAGCAATATATTAGTTCTAATATCTAAGGAAAATTACCTCTATATATCAGTTGATGAACAACAACAATAGGGAAGGTTTGCTGACTTCTTTCTTTCTACCCATATGTATCTCATTGGCCATTGAATGAACAGAATACTGGGGTAGGTTGGCCACCAATATGATTTAGTAGGATTAAAAAAAAATTCTAATCCTGATCTAATGCAATGAGGTCCAGCCAAAGATCCTTGAAAACATAGGCCTTGAAAACATAGGCCTGTGCTCCAAAATCTTACTAATTTCAATGGAACATACCTTTCTGCAGCTTGTACAGCCTGAAATGTGAATTTCCCTCATTAAAATGTTTAGGCTTCTTTAGGAGAGGAAAGTGGGATATAAATAAATGCAGCAACAATAACAATGCACTAGCCTATAATAATGCACTAATATAAATGTTGTTACAACAGTGTTAGATAATCAGATTGCTATAAGGAATTTATCAGGTTTTAATCTGTTTTAATTTTTACTTATTGTATTGCTAGCCGCTTGGTGTGGGAGAAAAGTGGGGTAAAAATCAACAACAATAATAATAATAATAATAATAATAATAATAATAATAATCACATTGACAAGCAAGTTGTTTGACTCATACTGAAGATCCAGGCATTAGAGAAGGGTATGTGTTTTTTTCTTGACAGAAGTAACATCTCTTCCTAACCACTAAGGATTCATCTCTAGCCCAGTACATGCCAATGTGCCTAGTGTGGAAGACCAATTGTTCTGCAAAACACACCTTTAGCCCCTAGATCAGTGTTGAGATAACATATTAGCCCTGAATATATTTAGCTTCAATAAATCTTTAATAGATACTAGCACTTCCCAGGAGAGTTCTGAGTCACATGAAATTCTGCTTTTTATTCGCATTATTATTGCCTTTATTCTGATGATTAGAAATCCATCTTGGTCTTGCAGAACTGAAAAATGATTCTACTGGTTGAGCAGCGAGCAAAATAATTCAGCACTTCCAGCTCCTTTTGACAGCTGCACAGAGTGATCAGATATGATCGGCTCCAGAGCTTATTTGCATGGCTGGCAGGGAACTTATATTTGTGAAATAAATGCTCTATGGGTGAAGATCTATATTGGACCTTTACACCATGCAATAGAAGCCCAGGTTGCAATTGGGTTAATGGGGTAAATAAGCAGTCTATTATTGGAATGGGGCTGGGGGGTGAAATGGCCCATTGAACAGCATTTATATGCATATGACTTTTCACATGGCATACTGATGGGAAATCCTGTACAGGTCAAGCAAGGACAGATTTGCCCACTCCTCTCTTTATGTACATGTGAATGTCAAATCATATCTGCCAGTACCAGTTTTATGTAATGCCTTATTGCACTTCAGTGTTACTTGATTAGGGCCCAGTGTTTACACTTGGGAAATGATAGATTAAGCTTGTTTGTAAGGAAGCAAATTTAAATTAGCATGCTGATGCTACTTTTAAATGCTTGTAATGAGGAATGATTTGCTATTCACAAATTCTACCTATAATAATGTCATAACTTACCTATGCCGATTATCAAATGCATGTTAAAACAATCATTCTTCTGGATAGAAACCTAAGAAAGGCTTGAGTTGGGGGAGCAAAAACAGCTCACTGCTGGGGAGCAGCACAGGACTGTCAATCTCTGCTTTGATGTGGACCAAAAGGGTTGACACGTTCCATATCTGATGTTACCCATTCCAGAGAATAAGCACTTATGCATAGGATTCTTGGGAACAGCTGTCTAGTTCTCTGAGTCTTCTAGTAGTTGCCAGAACAAATATAGTATGCAATGGTTGCGACTGGAAATATATTTCACCTAATTAAGGCCTTCATTTATTACATTTTGTTAAAAATCTTATTGCTCTTTCATCACAGAAAGGCTTCTGTAATTTATTGGAATAACTTAGCAAAAATTGCCACTCATTTGGTATTCTATTTAATTGTATTTTAGATGGAATTAAACTGAAGCCAAGTGGTTTTAACAAAAAGAAGACAACGAAGAAGAACAATCTTCATCCTTCCAGAGCTTCAATTCATCATGGCGGCAGGTGTAGCAGCATGGCTGCCCTTTGCCAGAGCAGCTGCCATAGGATGGATGCCAGTAGCCAACTGTCCTATGCCTCTGGCCCCAACAGATAAAAACAGACGGCAGGATGAGCTGATAATTCTTAATGTGAGTGGTAGGCGCTTCCAGACATGGAGGACTACATTGGAAAGATATCCCGACACTCTCCTTGGCAGCACAGAAAAAGAGTTCTTCTTCAATGAAGATACAAAGGAATATTTTTTTGACCGGGACCCTGATGTATTTAGGTGTATCTTAAACTTTTACAGAACTGGCAGGCTGCATTACCCAAGATATGAGTGCATCTCAGCCTATGACGAGGAGCTTGCCTTCTATGGGATCCTACCTGATATAATTGGGGATTGCTGCTATGAAGAGTACAAAGATAGGAAACGGGAAAATGCTGAAAGATTGATGGATGACAATGACTCTGAAAACAACCAAGAGTCTATGCCAGCCTTGAGCTTCCGGCAAACCATGTGGCGAGCTTTTGAGAATCCCCATACCAGCACCTTAGCCTTAGTCTTTTACTATGTCACCGGCTTCTTTATTGCTGTCTCTGTGATCACCAATGTCGTAGAGACTGTGCCGTGTGGCACAGTCCCTGGCAACAGGGAACTGCCATGTGGGGAGAGATATGTAATGGCTTTTTTCTGCTTGGACACAGCTTGTGTTATGATTTTTACAGTTGAATATCTTATGCGACTCTTTGCAGCCCCCAGTCGCTATAGGTTCATCAGGAGTGTGATGAGCATCATTGACGTGGTGGCCATTATGCCCTACTACATTGGCCTGGTGATGACTGACAATGAAGATGTGAGTGGAGCCTTTGTGACTCTGAGAGTTTTCAGGGTGTTCCGAATTTTCAAGTTCTCCCGCCACTCTCAAGGCTTGCGAATCTTGGGGTACACTCTGAAGAGCTGTGCCTCTGAGCTTGGTTTTCTCCTCTTTTCTCTCACGATGGCAATCATCATATTTGCTACTGTGATGTTTTATGCAGAGAAAGGATCTTCCTCCAGCAAGTTCACCAGCATCCCAGCTTCGTTTTGGTACACTATTGTCACCATGACAACCCTGGGGTAAGTGCTCTATTTCTCTTTCCTGGTAAAAGGTCAAGTGTGCTGATTGGTGGGATTTACTAAAATCCCAAGGTTATAGAGTTGTTGGCTTTTTTTCACCTGAAAATAGACAAAACATTTAGTAGCTATTATAAGTAGTATTGTTGTTATTATTCTTTCATGGTCACCTTGTAAATTACATCTAGCAAGTCAGACTTTCAAATCTTCAAGCACGGAATGCTAAAGTGCCTTTGCAGCAATGATGTATCATCTGTAACGTTGTGGAAAACTGAATTGTATTGTTTTAGTCTAGGACTGCATAAAACCTACCTTGCTTTCAATTTCATTATCAGAGGCAGAGAATTGCAAAACTCTTCATTTTGTGTTTGCTTAAAGAAGATACTTTTACTATAATGTTATTTGGATGGTTTTCTCATTGCTTTTGATGGAGATAAACTGGAGATAAATCCAAATGGGTATGAAAATGATAAAGTAAGTTCTAGTCCTGTGAAAAGGGAGATGAGGAAGGAGAAGTAACCCAAGGGTATAAGGAACTCAGTTGATTAAACTTGCTTTAGATTCAAATGTACACATCTTTTTCTACTCAAGCATGGCAATGTTTATCCCTGTAACCATCTTTCAGGCTGTTTTCTGAAAGAAACCTAAATCAAAACTTTAAAATACTTTTTTCGCTGCCCAGAATATTAGCTAAGTGGAGTAAGAAACTACACGTACACTGGAACAACTCCTTGGGATGAGTATCAGATGACCAATGTCAAAAAGATACTACAAGCAATAATAACACCTTTTCGTTCTCATAATTACTAAACAAGGAATGTTTTGCAGCAGGAGTTGAATTCATTTACATAAAATATACTTTTGAAACCCAGAGTTTTTAAGAATGTTTTGCAAATGGTTTGGGGGTTGTTGTTTATCCACATAATAGAAATTAGGCACTGCAGAGAACATACAAAGAGCTGGTAATGTTTTAGAGAAAAGAGTTGACTTGTTAAGAAGAAATCATTTTCCCAACAGCTTATGGGTCACTAAAGGAAGCTTTTATTATACAATGCCCGCAATATAACAGTGAAATACACACAGTTAAGCCCACATGTCTTTCAGATTAAACTTGATAAGATGGACACATGCAAATGTAATGCTTGAACCAGAGCTTGGAAAATGTATTCTTTTGAGCTGTAATTTCCAGCATGTTGCAACCATTGGTTGGCTGGGGAATGCTAGAACTAGTGCACCAAAAAAAGAAAAAAAGAAAAAAAATCCAAGTTCTCTGCAGAGCACATAGCCCTTTGGCTGTCTTTAAAATTTTCATGGATTGTATTGAATTGTCAGCTTTTCTGTACTTGAATGTTTGAGCCAGTCCATTCTGCAGACCCATTAAGGGAAAAATATTCTCTCTGACACTCACATAGGATTATAGCAAGCATTATCAGTGTCTGTCCCAGCTGTTTAAAATGACCTAACCTTCAATGATCTCTATGTATAATATTAGAATTTCATTTATGAGACTAGAAGATGAAATGTTTTCAGTCAAATTTGTTTCTGCCTAGGATTTTCAGTTTCTTTTGATTTTTAAAAAGGATAAAGCAATTGTTTTCATATTTCTTTGTTTACTACATTTGATCTGTTGCTGCTCTTGTTTTTCAATGGCTTCAGTTCATATTGACACTGAACATGCACATTACTGTAGGCTGAAACTATTAAGATAATAATTAATCTCCCAAAATGGGGAAATAGCTATTTTTTTGGATTTGCTTTTTTTCTGTTAAAATAAAGGAATGTGAAACATTCATGAACACTACATGATCTAGCTGCCTGACTGGTCATCTCTTAACCAACATAGCTACTTCTTAATTAGATTTGGAATATTACCATAGGAACTTTGGGGGGAAAAGAGTGTTTTTACATATTCTGAAATGTTTCTCATCTGTGTGTTGACTTCCTTTGATGCGAACAGGTTGAAAGTAGCTATATATATCTGCAGGTTATAATCAGTGAAGAAGGATGTGTGTATGCAGGGAAAATTATATTAAAAAATCAATATGCACACGTACATTCAGGTGACAGTTGCTGCATAAATATTTTGAAGGGCAAATGGTGATAATGATGTGAAGTGATAGCAAAAGCTGAAAAAGTTGCACAAATTTACTCATGATGGTAAATGATGACTCCCTAGCACACGGGAAGATAAGAAACATAAAAAATCTTACAAATAGTGAAGAGTGCCAGACATGTATTTGTAGTTAGGGCTAACATGGTTCGTTATGAAGTCTCTACCTACCAGATTTGTTCAAATACCATTTTAATTATCCTCAGTATGCATAGTTCTTGGCACCTACATTTCATATCGGGAAGTCACCAGGTTGTGGGAGGCTGGGATCTACAAAATGTTAATAAAGGGAGAGTTAAGAATGTTGACAAACAACTAGCTTTTGAAAAATAAATGTGCTTTGCTGGCATTTTCCCTATTTTCAGGGACAAGATCCACAGGACATAAAAACTAGCTCTATGTAAAAGTATATAGGGACCAATGCCGTGGTACCATTCATTTCTTCTTCAGCTAAATGAAGCTGTGCTTTAGTAGAGCACCTTTCCATTCTGCATATAATCATAGTTCAAACCAATTGTTTTTGAGGACCCTAAAGTAGGATAATCATAGAAATTATAGCAAGCATGCTTGAAACTGTCTGATGAAGTTTAAAAATTGCAGACACCAAAATGTTGTATTTAATATTTGAGGATGGCCATGACCTACCTTCTCTCCAGAATATTTAATGCACACATATATGATTTTTGTCTGTTTTTTTTTAAATGAAAGAAGATGATGTAGTCATTAGAATGAGTAATCTAGATTTAGGATCAGATTACTGACATCTTTTAAAGATACAGACCAATGAGGTCACCATATCAAGATTATGCAATGAGGGACAATTCTATACCTTCTGTAGCTCTCGTTCTTTAAACTTTCATCTTAACATGTCATTTGTGCTGTTTAGCCAACCTGCACCTTTATATTTTTGAGATCACTCAATACTACAGTATAGTGTTCTTTTGGAACGGGCAACTTTGTACTATGCTGTTGCCATCTTGTTTTTGTATTGGAAGGAATGGTTAAGCATTTCTTTTAATTTGGATTCATTTCAAAAGAAAAGAAAATATTTATTTTTGAAACAATATTGTGCAGAAGTCATTGTTATTATGTTTGTGTTTAACTGTTAGGGTATGTATTTGTGTTTGTAACAGTAGCTAAAACTGGAGTCATCTGGTTTGAATCCACAGTGAGCATTGCCAAGGAGACGAGGCTGGCTAGCTCATGAGAGGGAGAAGTGGGCAAAGCCAAGCAGGAAAAGTTATGTGCGTTTTTTAAAAAAACAGTAGAGAGAGGCTTGGAAAGGCCTGAGAGAGAGGCTTGTGTGTGAGCTGCTGGTGTTTTCTCGATCTAGGAGGGCTGAAGAAAGAAACCTGGCCAGATTCTTTAGTTAAAGAAAACTAAAGGAAGCCTAGTTAAGATCCCTAGTTAAGGAAGGGCTAGAGATCAGAGATTTGATCGAGGGAAGATCAAATTGAAAGGCTAGTTATAATAGTGAAACATTGTTCACTAGAGAGCTTCACCTCAGTGAAAGTTAGCCACAAGCTGTGTTATCTGGAAGAGAGGACTATATTATAAACCACGTGATATTCAAAGTTCCATAGGTTATTTAACAGCCTGCAACCATAAGCTTTGTACACAATAAACTTGTTATCTTTTGTTGAAAACCGTCTCATCTCAACTAATCTGTGTGTGTAGAGCCAGATCTCATTGGTGGTACCTCAAATACCTCACGTTGGTGGCAGTTACCTTAACTTACAAATAATAATTGGCCTCCTCCATAATACACTCTTCTACACCATTGAGGCCTGAGGTAAATTCCCTCCATAACATCCACATCTGTACAATTGGTGATAGCGGTGGGGATCTTCAAAGAAAAATCCCTATACCCTGTCCATCATTGTGTTCGCATCCTCCCAAATATCATTTGTTTGAAGCTTGAAAAAATTAAAACAGAGATAGCAGTGATAAGCTCTCCATTGTGCCCTGACCGTGAGAGCTACATGAAGTGGAATTACATGGAAGAGGACCTTCTCTGCTGTGGCATGCTGCCTCTCAGAGGTCTGACTGGTGCCAATGTTAGTGTTGCGTCTCAGAATAGTTTCACCTTGCTCTCTGAGAAACCAGCCAAACTTGAGAAGAAAATAGTTTATTGAAGAATCAAACAAATCCAAGTAAAAACAGTAAAAAGTTCAAAGTACAAAATATAGGTTCAATAGGAGTCCATAAATCAAACAGGATCTTGAAGCAAGGAAGCAGGATACATTTCAGGCTTAGCATGAAGTTACAGGAATCAGGCAGTTCCCCCCCGAGCCCAAGCACAGGGCCATAGGAACAGCGATCCATTCTAGCGAAGTTGAACAGACACTGAGTCAGCTTACAAGCAGCATACTTATAGGAAAAAAGCATCAACACATGAAATTAAAACAATCGCTAACAAGCACTTTTCTCACCGACAGATGGCCTCAAGATTTGGCCGCAAGTCTCTCGCTCCTTCTCAACACCTGCAGCTGGCTGCTCTGGCCTTCACCGCCCTTATCAGCAGTCACATTCCTTGGCTGTGAGAACAAGCGCTTCTCAGCAGCTATGAACTTTGACTGAGACTGAGAATTCTGAAATCCCACATCAGGCCCATTTGCACTCACAGGCCCATTTGCACTCTCAGACCCATCATGCTGTTGCTGAACCACAACAGTTAGTGTCATTCTGGTGCCAAATCAAAACTTGTTTCTATTAATGTCTTTGGGAATTAATTTACTTTGAAACATGCATATACACAGCTTTAAATTGTTGTAGCCTTTGAAATGGGTTCAATTATTGCCTTGTTGAGTACATTTCTCATTTTAAAATATTTCTATTCTTAATCTGAAGGAGTTTTCAATGTTTGTACTGTATATATTTTATGCCACTTTCA